ATATTTACACGTGTATATATTCGTATTTGTATACATATGATTAAAATTTATTAAATAAACAAGTCACTGTTAACAGTTTCTATCTAAATAACAATCCCATAGACCCAAAAGAAATTGGATTTTCGCAGGCTTTGCACGATTGTGCCATTTAAATGCAAGGAATTACTTTTACCGAAACACGATAGTTGAAATTACTGGAGGTAAAAAACAAGTAATCAACGCACATATTATTTTGTTTCAGCCAGACTGACGAGTAAATAGTTATGTGATACATTTTACTTATGACGCACCGGGTAGTGAGAATACAAACGTATCCCGTTGTTCTTGTCCCTACTGCTTACCGCTTGCTGACGGACGGATCAACTCTCTGTGTAAACACAAAGACAAAAACTAGGAAGAAAGTAAACTTATCAACGAAAATCCACTTACAGTCCGGTATCCATTTCGGTAAAAGTAAGTGAAAATGTCAAAACAAGAGGTACGCATTCGTTTGTTTGTTTGTTTGAAAATCGTTTTTATTTGAAATGAAATTGCGTTGGTTTCCCCTCCCAACCCCCTTTCCCCCGATACAATAAGCTAGCACAACAACAGTAAAGGAATCAAACAGACACAGAGACGAGTAAATATTTCTTCACTTGCGCAAATACCCATATTCATAAGATAACAGCTTTCAACTACATTCTAACCTGCTCTAACGGCCAGCAGTCCAAGAAAGCAATCACCTGTGAAAACGGCTACTACCCATTTTCCCTCGTGTTGCATTTTAAAAACGATTTTACTGTGTCAGGGGAAAGGGGGTTGGGAGGGGAAATTAACGTAATTAAGTTGCCCTTTCACTTTAAAAAAATTAATTAACAAATAAACAAACGGAAAGCGTACTGATGCTAGATTTGACATTTTAACTTACTTTTACCGAAATGGATAGTGAACTTAAAGTGGATTTTCGTTGATAATTTTCTTCATAGTTTTTGTCTTAGTATTACTACACTGTTCAACACACCCACCAGTTTCAGACAACTGCTTTTCACCCGACAACGGGGTCGCCGTCACTGACAATTACGACTGTCTGTATTTCAACCAAAACCTGTTTCTATTGTTCATTCCTCAGAATCAATCGACAAAAACAAGAACCCCCACAGCATCATGGCCTGCCGCATCACCTCCGCCACCACCACTCTTTTCTCCATACTCCTCCTCATCGTAATAGCAGAACTCAGCTCAGCTCAGAATTACCACTTCAGCAACGGCTGGTACGCCGGCAAAAAGAGATCGTCCGCCTCCCTCCTCCGCCCAGAAGCTCTCGGAAGCAGCAGCAGTAGTAGCAGTAACAGTGGCTTGGACGTCACAGACGCCGACAGCAGCAGGGGAGGTGTCAGCAGCTTGAGTGGGCGTGGTTTCGGCGTTGGTGAGCTCCGATTGGTCGACTCACCGTGCAGCATTCGGCTCGAGACTTTGGCACTCATCAACAAATTGATGCAGGTAGGGAATGTTGTAGTGCTCGTGTGAATTTGTAATTGTGCATATGTATAGGGATGTGCATATAGGAGCATATAAGTTAGTGTGAATAAGCGTGTGTGTGTATGCGCGTGTGTGTGTGGTGTGAGTGTGTGTGTGTGT